TTTCTCCTTTACGTTTTGTACAGCATGAGGCACGCTGTTTTGCTTACCATGTAACTTTAATTTAAGAGTCAGAAAAGTTTAACTAATCAAATTCAGACAAACCAATTTTACTAAGAAAAAAAATCATGAGTAGATTTTGTTTTTTAGCCATTCAAAGGTATAGGCAACACAGGCAACCAGCCAGTTTCCAATACCAATAGCTTAAAGTAATTAGGCTGCAAATTCCGTTATCATTTACACCAATTATGTAAATCAGGCGTAACTTCACTGAAGTCAGGGAGTTACACCATGTGAGATGAGAATGAGACCCAACTTTTCTTAGCATTTCAACATCTAGCCAGCTGTCATTTTTAAACTGAACGATTTAGACAAGGCAATTAATTTATTATACCACTATACCTCTTCAATTCCAGCAATATTATTTACTGCCAATTTTTTGAGTGAACTCTGAAGTTTTTTGTCATCAGCTGTCGCTGTCCTGTGCACCACCTTCTTCTTTCTGCGAGCTGTACCCTGAAAAAGTCAGACAATGCAAGAAACATTAGTCAGCAACTCTGAAAATCTGACATTGCAGTCACATGTACCATAATATCAACTAACTAATTTAAACAAAAAGGAGTTGCTGAGTACTGCACTTACATTGTCAAAGCTGCTCTGATAATTATCAAGTCTGGGTTGACAACCTGGCCCAGTTTTCTGAAGTTCACAGTAAATGATACAGAGCTGAACAATTCTCTCCAAAAAGATACACTATTCCACAAATTTAAAATCATTATACCCCAGCATGTTCCATCTCTCATTCTCTCAAGAGTATAGAGAAGTCCCATGACCTGAAGTTCTTTTCAGTTTACCCTTTTTAAAATTTTAGTATGTTAGGCTTTACCTGGACAAGTTTGTTTCTAGGGTTTTTTAAGGGTTTCAGTATAAGAGATTTCAAAGGGTTTCATCAAATGGTTCAGTATACAAGAGTCACACTGGCTTATTTACAACTCGAAGTGTTTTACAGCAAGTTCTCAGTAAGAGGAAACATTTACATTTTCCTTCTTTTTTCCCCCCTCTCTCAAGATGTTCTCTTCCTTATTTTCCAAAAGTTATTTTAAGAAAGGCACAAAGTTCATTTTGCCAGAAAGATAATTAATCAATATCTTAAATTTAAGCAAATCTTACAAATATGGCAAGTGTATTTTTCATATTTAATGAAGTTTATATGCTACAAGCTTCTACAAACACAAACACCCTTCTACACTTAGGCGTTAAACTGATGTATATTTAAAAGATGAAGTCACCAAATAAAATATCCATGTATTGGCAACCAATTGTTTTGGATTTAAAGAAAGATACTTTTCAGGCTCCAACATGCTATGATCCTGATCATAACAGCAGTATTATTTCAGACCCTTAAAATATACAATGAAAATAAAATATGTCAGGTCCCTCTATGAATTTAATGTTGTTTTCCTCTTACCTTTCCGCCTATTCGGACCTGAGCTTGAAGCTTGGCTAACTTTTCTTGATTCATGATGCTGTGTCTGAAGAATAAGTATGCCTACCATATTAGCATGATGTTAAATTTTAAGTTTATTACACAAATCAGCTCAATTTTTATGACACTGCCTTTATATAAAAATATTTAAAAAGTAAATTCTAAATGTTCAAGTTCATAGTAATGTCCTTTAAAATAATATCATAAGCAACAAAAACATTTGCTAACAAGAGCTAAAGACAATACTATATGTAAGGCATATCATCTAACTCAGTGGTTCTCAACCAGGAGCAGGTTTCAGGGAGGTCTGCCAAAATAAAACAGAGTAGGGCTGGTGTTCAACTCACTGGGGCCTGGGGCTGAAGCCTGAGCCCCCCTGCCTAGGGCTGAAGCCAAAGCTTGAACAACTTAGCTTTGCGGGCCCCCTGTGGCCTGGGGCTCCAGGCAATTGCCCTGCTTGCTACCCCTAATGCCAGCTCTGGCTTTTAATCTACTGGATATGCAGAAAAAGAGTTGTTGTGGAACAGGAAGGCTGTGGAGTTTTTATAGCATGCTGGGGAATGGGGGGGTGGAAGAGGGTCTCAGAAATAAAAAAGTTGAGAACCCCTGATTTAAATGACATAGCATGCACAAGAAAATATATGTTAGCAGAAGGAACGGCATTCTGATACAAACTGACAGAAGCCAGGAAATTCAAAGTCACATTTAACTTATTATCCTAACTTAAATATTAATTTACCATCCTATCAGTCTATTTGTTCCCCCCCTCCATTAACTCCAATAAACTTATAATACAGCTGAATGACAAGCAACTCAATTTACTTTCTAAAACAGCATGCATTTCACAACAGTCATTTCTAAAACTACTGCACTTTATTAAAGTAAAAATGGCAAGGTGACATTGGAAAAGGAAGTCTTTCATAAGACTGCTTTAAAATGTAAGCTTTCGTTGCCATTCCCATGATTAATCTCAAAGAGTTCAATAATATCTCAGTACATTTTTGAATGAATAAATTTTATTAGGTATTCAGGCTATGCAAATACCATTGTCTCACAACACCCTTCACATAATAAAGAGCTATGATATTCAACTCATCCATTATGAAGTTAAAGTGTCCACTGCATAAAATGGGATTACTGTTTTTTTCTTAAAACCAAAACTACCATAATCAGAAGGCGAAAGCACCCAACACCTTCTGTATACAGTAATTTTGGGAGTCATTTAGCTGGTCTGCCCCGGGGAAGTCATTAATGTTTCACTGTTTAGTAGGGAGATAAGAAAGAAACCCCTCACAACTTCCATACTGGCAAAGAAAGGCAGAGGCTAGCCTCAGGTGGTACTCTTATGAGGGGAAGGGATTCCAGAGCCTCCAAATACGTTAACAGGAAGGAAGCCCTATAATGGACGTGTCCTGAGACAGGCCCCCCCACAAATCCAGCCCTAGAAAAGAAGGTGGGAGAAAGATGTTCGTTTTCTACAGGAGGGAATTCCCAATCATTTTCAGTGGGAGGGGGGTGCAGAAGAGATCCCCACAATATTAACTGGCCCAGAGGCCTGGAGGGAAGGGGTGTGTGCCCCTGAAAAGGAGAAGGGGACAAAATCCAGCCCTGAGGAGATGGGAAGTGATTATAGCCAAGGGGAGCAGCACCCCCACCCCCACACAATATCCAGTGGGTCCATGCCTTGGAAAGGAGGCGGCCCTCCCCATAGCCAACCCTGGCGCCGATGGGGTCTACGGTCGGGGAGAAGACCCCCCTCTCTCCCACATCCAGCTCTAAGGGAGGGGAAGGTCCCTGCCCCTGGGGCGCCCCCCATGACCAGCCCTGAGGGGAGGGGGAAAGGCTCCGCAGAACAAGCCGAGCTCCCTTCAGGCAGCGGGCAGGCCCATGCCCCTCACGGCACCGACTGCTCCTCCCCCCGCGTGCGAGCCGGGCCGCGCCGCGCCGCAGAGAGAAGGGGGGGGATGGGAGGGTCCGGTGCGGGGACGGGGGGATGGAGAAAAGGTGGAGGAGGGGAGGAAATAGAAAGTTCTCACCTGAGTCCGGCAGCCCCTCCGCAGCCAACACGCGGCGAGAACAAGATGGCAGCCACGCCAGGCAGGGAAGGAGACGAGGGGGCACAGAGAAAGGCGGCCGCGGACCACGGGACCCTGGGCCCCGCCCACTCACCTCCGATTGGAAGGGACACCGAGTTATTTGCATAACATGGAAAGTTGTAGGTAGCGCCCTCTTCTTCCCTTTCGCTTCGCGCACCCACGCTTCAGGGGGAAACTACAAGTCCCAGCATGCAATGCACGTACAGGGATTCTAGAACCAGGTCGAGGTAGTGCATTCTGGGAGCTGTAGTCCCCGTAGGGGGAGACGGGGGTGGAGCTTGTTGCTGGGCTCTGCCTTAGTCCCATGTACTGTATTCTCTTACGGACCATATAGGATGGAGGAGGGTATTGGTCTATTTCTGCGGTGCAGTAGTCAAGGAAATGGCTTTCTCTTAGGGGCTGGGTTTGTTTGGTTTGGGGTTTTTTTTTGCAAAAAACAAAAGCCGTGGTGTTTGCAAAATGGGACAGTACCAGTGAGATCAGGGTTCACAAACCGGTGTAGTGTGTCCCAAGAAGATTCCAGTCGCCAATTGACCGGAGTTAGCAGCATGTTGGGGTTAGGGTGACCGGATAGCAAGTGTGAAAAATCAGGACGGGGTGGGGGGTAATAGGTGTCTATATAAGACAAAGTGCCAAATATCGGGACTGTCCCTATAAAATCGTGACATCTGGTCACCCTAGTTGGGGTAGTCCTCAGGATTCCAGGTTTTAGAGGCTGGCTGGTCAGGATTTGTACAGTAAGGCAGACTTTAAGAAGCAGGTTTTTTAAATGCAATAGCTCTTGGAAAATCCCACAGATTCCAATTTGTAAAACATATAAATCAAGATCTGCGATAATCCAGTTTTTACTTTCTCAGTTTGCAGACAGCGACGCATTAATGTACCGAACCCCGAAGTTTGTTCCACTTTGAGCACAGTGATATATACGGTCCACTTTTTTTTGTACAGAATAAAATAACCCTGAAATCCACCCCTCGCTGGCAGGTGCTGAAGAGCAACCAATCAATTTCGACCAACTCTCTGACAATCCTACAAGACATATGTAGACTGGGTTAGTTAAACATTAAATCATTCTGGTAACAATCACAGCTTTAGCCCAAATCTGGACTTGAGCAATATTACTACTCATGAGGGGCTGGCGGCAGAACTAGTTGGCATGTGTGAATTGGATGAGCCCCCCCCCTTTCAAATCTAGATTAAATTACTATTTAAATGTCCCTCCCCCCGGCAAAATCTCTTGTCGGAAAGTGGCCAGTTTGGAAACAAATATGCAGAGCTGTAACTATAGATCAGAAATAATTTTGCCAATTCTCTCATTCAGATTTTGGGGGATCTGTTCCTTTTAACCTGATACAGGACTCTGAAGCGCCACCCACATCCGCCCAACATCACTTCCTGGGTTAACACCCCCCCCCCCCCAACCCTGATCTGATCTGATCTTGCTGACTGTGGCCATCGAGAAGCATTCATTGTGCTGCCGAGGTTCCAAGCAGACACCATGAAGATTCAATTAGCAGCAGCACTCTCCAATCTCTTTTTTTGCCTGATTTTCCTGGTGCTTATCACATCCTCTGCTGGAGAAGGGCTTGGAAAGGGTTAGGCATCTCTTTTCTTTTTGTTTGTATTTAAACTTTTATGATTGCTATAAATAAGTAAATAAATCCCTAATCAGGAGGGTCCCTTCCCCGCAGCCCAGAACTGTATTTAATATTTGCAATAATGCATTCAAATAGTAATTTTGATTATTTAGGTAAATTTCATCGCTGGGGGGGGTAAGGAGTAATCGCTTTAGTGGCAGAACTGAGGTTGAAACATACAAGATATTATGGTGCCAGGCCATAAATTGATTATGAGCAATTGCAGTGCAGCCCTGATATAGTAGGAAATACGTTAATGTTGTGGGAGTGGAGAAGAGGGGGCTTGGCAGGTTTATTTTTTTTCAAAACTGTCAATTGCTGGTTGTAGCAGACCTGCCAAGTCTCATTCATTTAGAAGATTTGTTCATTCTGAGTTAGTTTTAAGGCAGTTTTTAAAATTTCTTTGGTGTTGAAGGATTTTGTAAAGGGTCTTTCAATGAAATCTCAATTAAATGTTTTATTTCCCCTTCAGATTGTCCCATTTTGACATCCCTACAACTATGCAACATAAGCACATTGGGGTATGGCTAGTAAATAGGTGATCAAGTGGATATTTTATGTTTTATCCTATAGTTTTTATCTCTCACTACTGTTGAAATTCCAGTAAACGGTACTTCCACTACAATCCTTCTCTTGTCACTTGTTCTGACTCAATCCCTTCTAGCCATATTATCTTACTTTTTACTTTATTTACTGATTTCAGCTTTTCTTAATAAACCTGTAGTTGTTAGACCATCCTGTACTGTACCATGATTTGGATTTATCTTTCCCCAGCTCTGTTCAGTCCACCTTATTTTACTTCCCTATCTTTGTTCTGAAGTCTGGAATGTGAGGAGCAGGTTCAATCAGTGCATCAATGTTCTTGACTATGTTCTTCAGTGACAGGGAAGAAGTGTCTTTAGTATTACTAGTTATTTTTTTTGATAGTTTAAACTCCACGGGTCTCTATTTTTAAAAATAAGGTTATTTCATAAGCTGTTGAGTGTTGCATTTTGTTAGTAACAGAATTCCATTCACCATGGAAAGGTTCTTAATTTTTTTGATAATAAAACTATTAATATTAATCAGGTCATGGGAGGGAGGGAAGACTGTGATGATTTTATTGTTAATGAATGTAGTCATCCTTGCTTACTAGAAAGAAATGTGATCTAATGTGTATTTAAATATCCTTGATTACAAGAAATAATGCTCCTCCTCATCCCCCTGCATATTTTATGTAAGGTTCCCTTGAGCTAAATGTACACCGTAGCCCCAGTCTTGTCCCCATTGACATCAGAGACTTCTGCTGCCTATTTACAGCCTGATTCAGCAAAATGCTTAAGAAAGCATATACTTAAGTCACATTGAACTAGACTTAAGCATGTACTTAAAGTAAAACACACACAAATACTTTTGCAGAAAAGGGACATTAACAGACAATAGAATTTGGTCCCATACAGAAATATATTGTACCAGTATGGTGTTATTTTTAATATATGGCAAAGATGCCTGTAGGCCTGGATAGGCACACTTACGTATTGTTTAACTCTAAATAGAAAAATAGCATAGTGATAGGTGAAAGCTGTGCTGTTGGATGGGTGTAATTCGTAATGTGTGAAAAAAGCAAAAAAAATGTCTGAGAACTTAAACATTGGACAGTAACAGGCTGTGAATCCCAGTGGTGATTGAACCTGGTGATATTCTATACAAAAAGAGCTCTCAGCTCTGTTTGTAGCTGTTTCCATCACTTCACACTGACTCAACAGACATTCTAATCTTCAGAGTGACAGAGAGAGAATCCTGCTATCTTATTCGATGGATAATGCTGATAGTTGCCAGCTCTACCATCAGATAGCAGATCTTGGTGCCATTCTGCATCCTCTCCTTGTCTTCAGTTCAGGATACACAGCTTGGATTGCATGTCTGCTAATTACAGAATTGGTAGGACTACTTGTATGAGTTAGGGCATGCAGAACTGAGCCCTCATGTTCTTTAATAATTGACTATAAGGTATTAATATTGGAATTTTCCCCAATCTTCGTAGACATTGCATATTATGAAAGAGGATTATGAAAATTAACTTTACCCAAAAATCCAATATTCACAGATGAAATTTGATGATTCCTGGGCATATCCAGAGGTGTGAGGCACCTTGCTATCGCTCGTCCTTAGTATGAAGAAATCTTGCCTGTGCCTGCTGTGTGTCAGCTCCCTGACTACCCCAGCCTCTGGCAGTGCTCCCCTCCAGGGCTCTGCAGTCCTTGCCTTCTCTCTGCAGATTAGCAATAGGCACACCCATCTCCCAAGTCCTCTGAACGCTCTGTGTAAGGTCCAGCTGCTTATTCACTGAACACTTAGAATTACTAGGCCTGCTGTTTCCAAAGGAACAGTACACCACAGCTTACTAGTTAGGGCCGGCTCCAGGCACCAGCATTTCAAGCAGGTGCTTGGGGCGGCAATCTGCAAGGGGCGGCAGTCCGTGTGTTTTTGCCACCCCAAGCAGCGTGCCGAATTGCCACCGCGGGCGGCGGGGGCAGTCCGTGTACCGTTAGGGTGGTACGCACGTTTCCGCGGCGGCAGCTTCTATGTTCAGCTGCCCGTGGCAGCAATTTGGCGGCTTCTGTCTTCCAGATGAAGACAGAAGCTGCTGCCAAATTGCCGCCGCCGTGGAAACGCGCGAGCTGCCCTAAAGGCACACAGACTGCCCCCACCGTCCGCGACAGCAATTCAGCGAGCTGCTTGGGGTGGCAAAAACAGTAGAGCCGGCCCTGTTATTAGTTATACCTTAGAACACCGCTCTGCTGAACACACAGCACTTAGATATATGTATATTGAAAACAAGAGTAAGTTTATTATCCAAGAACAGAGATTCAAGTGATAGTGAGTATGAATATTGAAAACAAATGGTTACATATAAAAAAATGCTTGCTAAAAGAAGGGAAATAAAACTAGTTGATGGTGTCCTTAAATGTCAGAAAATATATTTATCTGTCATTTGACATTTTAAATTATGCTACTTTTATAAACCTTTCCCTTTTCCAGGTTTTGGAGATCACATTCATTGGAGGACACTAGAAGATGGGAAGAAAGAGGCAGCAGCCAGGTATGTTATACAATTTAAATTCACAGGGTTGCTTTACATTAAAAAGAGAAAAAAGATTCTGCATGGATCCTATATTTAATCAGAGCTAGTTATGTGTAAAAATATCCAGGTGGTATAGGAGAACCTACAGACCCAGATAATACATCAGAGAGAAAACATTTAACATTTGTTAATGATAAACTCTGATCCTGCAATCAGATCTTCCAGGTAGATAGATCCTTGAGGCCGTGTAGATCTTCATAAATTTACATAGGTCTACCCACAGATCCAGTTGCCGGATTGTGGCTTTATTGCATCATTGAGCTGAAAAGAAAATTATCACGCTTTTTGACAACCTACTACAATATAGAAAGAGACATGGGCCCCAGTCCTGCAAACATTTAAACAAGTGCTTAACTTTACGTACAGGAATGGTTTTTTTAGAGCTCAACAGGACTACTTGCCGTTGCATGCATAAATGTTTGCAGGACTGAGGCCATAGAGTTAATTGAAAGGATTATTTTACTACTATCTGGAAACCAATCTGGAAGTGTAAAATATTTTCTTATTTTTAAAAATATAAAAATTACAGCCTACATTTTTATGAAAGATATAGCTAGAATTTGAATTTTGCGTTCAAACTGATCCATCTGTTTTCTCCCACTCACAATATGAGAATGTGTAGTGAGTACATAAAATTAACACAGCAGGTGCAGTTAGAGCAGTGATTCTCAAACTTTTGTACTGGTGACCCCTTTCACATAGCAAACCTCTGAGTGCGACCCCCCCCCTTATAAATTAAAAACACTTTTAAATATATTTAACACCATTATTAATGCTGGAGGCAAAGCGGGGTTTGGCGTGGAGGATGACCAGGGCCGGCTCCAGGGTTTTGGCCGCCCCAAGCAGCCAAAAAAAAAAAAAAAAAGCCACGATCGCGATCTGCAGCGGCAATTAGGCGGGAGGTTCTTCGCTCCCAGCCGGAGTGAGGGACCGTCCGCTGAATTGCCGCCAAATAGCTGGACGTGCCGCCCCGCTCCAGAGTGGCCGCCCCAAGCACCTGCTTGACAAGCTGGTGCCTGGAGCCGGCCCTGAGGATGACAGCTCGTGACCCCCCACGTAATAACCTCATGACCCCCTGAGGGGTCCCGACCCCCAGTTTGAGAACCCCTCAGTTAGAGAACTCTAAGGTGGCACTTAACTGTACGTAATGGCATCCATGTGATATGCCTTCCCCAAAACCATGTTACTGCAGTATTTGTGATAATTACTGCACTATTGTTTTTCCATAGAAAAGTAATATGTGACCTTACGCAGTCTGCCTTACATTTAGTGAGACAAGCTAGTGGGAGGGAGGGTGTGAAGCATTGGCAGTGAGATGTCTCTTCCTTAGTCTTGGCTAGTGCAGTGAATGGTCAGTCAGTGAATTTCATAGCCTCATCTTCCATTGCTGGAAGGGCAGACGCAGGTGACATCTCTATCCAAATTCTGTAGTATCTGAGTATCTGTGAGTGGCAAAGCTTGAATAGGACCAAGGAGTGCATAGGTGAGACAAAACTTTGGCCTGGTCTACACTAGGACTTTAATTCGGATTTAGCTGCCTTAATCCGAATTAACCCTTCACCCGTCCACACTACAGAGCCAGTTAATTCGAATTAAAGGGCCCTTTAAATCGATTTCTGTACTCCACCTCGACGAACGGAGTAGAGCCTAAATCGATTTTGTTAATTCGAATTAGGGTTAGTGTGGACGCACACCACCGAATTACTGTGTTTAAGTTAATGGGGTAGTGTGGCCGCACACCACCGAATTAATGTGGTTTAAAACCGAATTAAGGTGCTTAGTGTGGCCGCGCACAATCGAATTTATACAACCTGTTTCCCAAATTCGAATTATCTAAATTCGGATTAATCCTGTAGTGTAGACATACCCTTAGTGTGTAGGTGAGACAAAACCTTTGTGTGTGTGCGTGCTATGGGGTGGCTGAGCGCCATGGCCTGCGGTGGCACTGTGGGGTGGCTGTGTGCTATGGAGAAGGTGTACAATGGTCTGGGGTGATGCCTTGTGGGGTGGTAGTGCCCTGCAGGGTGGCTGTGTGACATGGGGCAGTGCCCTGTGGGGTGGCTGGTTGCCATGGCCTGGGGTGATGCCTTGTGGGGTGGCAGTGCCATGGGGTGGCTGGTTGCCTTGGCTTGGGGCAGTGCCCTCTGGCATGGCAATGCTGTGGAGCAGCTGGTTGCAATGGCATAGGATGATGCCCTGTCGGGTGGCTGGTTGCCATGGCAGGGGGCGATGCCCAGTGGAGTGGCAGTGCCATGGGTGGGTGGTTGCCATGGCATGGGGCATGCTCGGTGGGGTGGCAGTGCCGTGGGATGGCTGGTTACCATGGCAGGGGCGATGCCCGGTGGGGTGGCAGTGCCGTGGGGTGGGTGGTTGCCATGGCGTGGGGCGATGCCCGGTGGGGTGGC